GTGATCCTTACACTTCTCGCAATAACTGCTTGTGTTCTCAAGGTAAGTTTCACGCTCTTGTAGACAAAGGTTGTGTGTAGCTCCAATGTGAAGTAGAAGTTGTGCTCAAGGCCGTCCAGTGCCACAGCTGTATCCTGGAGTCACTTGCAATCACACTACCAGTATATAATGACTGTAGGACATCCGAGCCTCACACTAAGCACATGGTGGGATGCATTTGCTTGTTTCTCCTGAAGTAAAACATGGACAAATGCCTGTCAGTACAGGAGAAACCACTGAACATGCCCATGTTCTCACCTCTACTGAACAGAACTCAGAATATCTCAAAATGTTATGCTTGATTGGACAAAATCTGCAGCTTTCATACCTTTAATATTACCTAATGCAGCAAGCGGCTTCTAAATGTAAATGCCTTAAACTGTGCTATGTGCTGTCCTTCCAGCCCTTGCCATCCACAGGAAAAAAGGTTGCATTGTCATGCACATAGGTGCCTCTCAAAAATGCACCGCTTTATTTCCCGAAAAGCTCTGAAACAAAGTTCTTGTGGTCAACAGACCTCCCAAACTCTCATGCCCAAAGCGCTTGGGAAGGCTACCAACAAGGATGTCTTAGCAAGGGAGATGACAATGCTTGGAAAAAGCCAAATGCTCAAGTGAGAATACATTACATTGTACTGGTACCACTAACAACATCATCTCTTAACCCCGCGCTATCCTCAGAAGCGAGCCCAAATGCTCGAGGGACTTTCGACATCTATCACTCTTCGTGACCAAAAGGCCCAAAAGGCTTTAATGCTTGACACTGGATCATGCGCCTGTCTCAGTCTTTTGCAGGTCCATCTTGAAGTTCACTCTCCGGTTCACGCCAGGGACGTCGTTGAACCACTGATCAAAGTTTGATTTGTTCGACAACCTAGGCAAGCCCACAGGTCAGCAAATGGGGCTTTGGCACCAAGCTGACCCTCGAGTTAAAGTAAGCTATTAGGAACAAGTGAACAAGTGCCACGCTAGTAGTAACAAGTGCCTTACTAGTAGTAACAAGAAGCTATTAGGAACAAGTGCATCGCTACTAGTAGCGTCTCTCACCGTGTGTAAGCTCCTTTGAATCGACTCAACAATTGCCATTGAAATGGCCTGTGGCCTGAGCTCCTGTGAAATCCCTTCGATTCACAAATGACAAGTAAATAAAAACAGTGCACCCCTTTGAAACATACAGGTGTTCTCTCACCTAAGCCATGCTGAACCTTGATCGATTTCTGTTTCATACTTGCTGATTGCGTTTGTACGAGCATTGGGCCTACACGTCGGATTGATGCTTCAACCAGTTCTTTCTGCTAGATTCCGTTTTGCGAACTACCCGCAAAGCTGTCGCTGGCACTTCCACATGTTGAGCTTTTGCGATGATCTTTTCGGCTAGAAGACACGTTCACAGCTTATGGAGTCACCCATTGACTAAGTGTTTGCACATGGGTCTCGCACTGCAACTGAACACTCATTCCACCTTCCACTACCAATTCCACAAAACTACACAAACATGTTACAGTACTAGCTGCGTTTTCAACCACTTGCAGGAATCGCATTTCGACACTTCCATGGATTCGATTGAGCATCGACCCAAACCGAGGTTGACTGACTGGACTTTGCGTTTTCGAGCAAACATGCCATGGTGGTGTATTCAGGTCTGGCTTTTGCTTTTACAAGCTCAATGCTTGCCCTTTGCATAAGAAAATCACATCAGTGTTGGGCATTGATCACTTGTTTGATTGATTGATTGAGAAGGTTCGAAGGATGGCGGATGGCATTGATCAATTGTTTATTTGATTGATTGAACACGTTCGAAGGATGGCGTCATTCCCTTAACCAAGCAGCTGAGGTCCCCCCTTGAAGACTGGCTTCTTGTCGCTACCGAGGATCGATTCCACCAAGCCCTGCGCCAGTGGAAATGTTCATTGGATCGCATGCCTTAAATGCCTTAACCATCCTTACATCCATCACAAGACTGAGCCACATCGTGGACTGAACACCTGTTGAAGCCCAAAGCATAGACTATGCTCCGCTGTCACAATTACCTACGCTTCGGCCAAATGCTGCTTCGGCCTCTTGGTGTCCGTCCATCGACCTCGGTGACGATGAGGTGCTGTATAGTAACTACTACTAGGAGCAAAGGGCATCGCTACTAGGAGCAAGGATGCTACTGGGGTGTCCTGGCCGTACTACTAGGAGCAAGTAGCTACTATGAACAAGAAGCTATAGTATCTATAGTGTAAGATGCCCATCACCCCCAAAAAATCTTGACGTGACTGACAAAAGGTCCACTATATAAGTGGATGCAATAATGGAATATACAATATTGGAACCACTGCGGTGTTTCTTGGGTGTACTTTTTGACAGCGACCCTTTGACCCCATTGTGGAGAGTTGTTCATCGAACAAGAAGAACCCAAGTGTCTTCAAATACAGTGCCCAAGAAATTGACATCTCCCAATCGCTAATGCATTATGACAACACCTTTGTGTTCTACCCATCGTCAAACCCAAACTCCTTTCATGATGAACATTTGTGATATCGACCCCAAGATTCTATAAAATGAAATCAGCTCAGTAACACGGACGCTACTAGGTGGAGGCCATCGCTACTAGTAACATGAAGTTACTTCGCCGCCCTCTCCGGACTCTCCAAGACGCTGGAAGTCTGGATGGTCGGCCTTGAAGTCTCGGAGCACTGCATCGAAGAAAATGGTGTCCGGCAAACCCTCGTAGTTGATGATCGGCACCATTGACTGCCCAGGTGGAATCCGTCTGTGGTAATAGGAGACGTTTGAGGGAGGGCAGCAAAGCAGGATCTGGCCCCTATCTTGTCCTGTCTGATTGAAAATCGACCAGTATGTGAAGGGAACCCATGGCTTGCATGGCTTGGAGCCCCAACATGATTGTGTGAATTCTAGGGAGGTCACATGTTGGAAACTGTTGAGACGTCATCAGCAGTGGTTGGCACATCCAATTCTTGAAGAATGCTGAAACAAGCTGAATGCAGCAGCTGCTTGCATGGATTCCCACAGAGTGAGTCAATGCATCTGTCAGGATCAGCACGGCTTTCAACTTCAATCCTCTCGACCTGGCAGAACCTTCAAAAACGACCTTTTGCCCTGAGGCCTCCTTGCGGCCAAAAGATATCTTCCGATTCAGTGATCCCTTCCCTGGGCACATGCGAGTTGAGTCTACACATGTCAGAGGGCTTTGTTTCCAAAACCTAATACTTGGCTAAAAACCGTTGTAGGTGTGGCTGCATGTCTGACTGCCTCCAAAGGAAACTCTGACCCAATAATGACCCACTGACATCCAGTGATCACAAAGAGGTCCCCTTACGTTCATTTTGTGATCTTCTAACCTGGAAGCTCTTCAACTGCAAACACTTTTCTTTAAAAACATGTCAAGAAGTGAAGCGACCTTGTTTTCCAGGTTCAATCGGACCAAACCAGCCAGGAATGGTACTTCAACACAAAACTGTTGCACAAAACAGTGAAGCAACCTCCAGCAACTCCCAAGATTCCGTGCTGAAGAAGAACATGTTCTTGCTTCGCACAAGACGTGCAGGCGGGCGAGGCTTCGCTCCTGCGAGAGCCGGTCGCTGACAACCCTTGTGGAGTCACAACCCAAGGTTCGGCATAACAGTCCGACCCGTCCGACCCGAGAGAATATACTGAGCGTGAAAGACCCACATCGGTGTAGATCAAGAAGATGGTGGAACGCGTGTTAGAGTCAAATCGGATTGGATGATTGAAGAATGCAGTCTTGAATTCTGAATTGACAAACACAATGAACAACATCAAACTAGTGCCCCATTAAACAGAATTAAAACCTTAATATATATATATATGGGTATATATATAACACACTATATCAATTATGACTCATGACACCAAGCGGCATGGTATCTCTTGACCAATGTAAAGTGTGCTCACGACAGGCACGGCATTTGCATGGTCTTTGTCAATACAAAATATGCCTTTGATTGTCTGTTCACGTTTCCCGCCCTTTCCTTTGCTCTGCTTTCCTGCTCCACTATTTTCAAAAGGCTCGTTCCAAAACCAATGGTCCGTAGATCAAATTTCACGATGCAAAAAACAAGTGCCACACACGCACTCCCTTTAGATCGAGGAAAACAAATATCTAAAAAATATAACAGTATAACCTGTCCAATCCCAGAATTTGAGAAAGCTCACGCTCTTCGATTTGCTGTGTTCTTTGCATTGATAGTCCTGCTCAGCTATCCATTCCCTTGTGACCTTTAGCGATGGCATCACTGCAATTGGGTTTCTGGGTCAATTCTACAGTACGGGCTTGTGCAAACCTGGCCCTTTGCTAGGACATCCGAAGCCTCGTCCAGTACAGTATCAAGGAGATGAAGAACCTCAAGGCCAGCGAAGCCAGCTAGGCTTGATGGAAAAAATCAATTGAGCTGTGAAAATAAGTCTTTTCGTGGAGCCAACAGCTGCGAGCACAACTAGCAGAGTCACCTGCACAACCGGTCTAACAAACAACAAACACACTAAAAATGCTCCACTCGGCTGCTGCAAATGATGGCTGGGCACAACAAGCCAAGAAGCCGAAGCATCTGACCCAAGTGGTCCAACTGAGAATTGAGCCGCAAAAAAGCTGCGAGGCAGGGGCTTGGATGCCACAGTCAACCCGGGGCAACCCACAACACCTGTGATCACCTGTGGGCTTGAAACGAAGACAACCAAGCATAAGAGGAGCCACCTGATGAACACGCGGGGATGCATGTCGGTTCGTCCATTGAGCAATCCTCGTTACAAAGAAGCTCAGAGAAAGCATCGAATTGTCACCATCATGGTCGTGAACATTGCTGATCCACCCATCTTACAAACCACAAACCACAAAGGACATATAGTATGTGTCCTTTAAAAGACTCTGAACATCTCTGAACATCTCTAGCTGAACATATATTATATAAACCCAACGCAAAAGCTCAGCCTCCCCACTGAGACGCATCAGCAGCAAGCTGATATCTCCTGAACACACGGCGGCAGGCCCGTGAGGCCCGTGATTCGATACCGTGAACACATTCACAACTATAGCCGAAACCCAAGCCTCGAACCAGCTGGATAAACGTGTATACCAAGAATCTCCAAATGTGACAGGAGAAGGGTGAACAAAAGCTGGCTACACGGTTCCTGCTGAGCTGGGCGCGATCGGGGAGCTGTCAGGAGACAACTTAGGTTAACAATCGAAATTGATGGCACACAAAATAAGGAGGACGCTACTAGGAACAAAGGGCATCGCTACTAGGAGCAAGGACGCTAGTAGGGGCTCCTGGCCGTACTACTAGGAGCAAGAAACTACTAGGAACAAGGACGCTAGACCACGGGTAGTACCGGGATAGTTCGCATCCTTTACAAAGAGTTCAACAGTTCAAAATGGACGGACAGTTTGAGGCCAGGAGATTGTTAGTGCGAGATGTGATGAGAGGAGACAAAAAGCAAATGATGAGAGCATCGTGGATGTTGAATTGAAAATCGGACTAGAAAAACATGTGCTTGCAAAATAATTCGAAGACTGAAATTGTTTGTGACTCCGGCAAAGGTTTATATAAGCAATTTATCTCTAGCGCCCGGCCCATCTTGCTGATTCTTCATCACTGGTCTTCACCACAGAAGTTCCTATGCTTGCTGAGCGGCTCCTTCAGTCCTGAGAGTTTGAGATATTTTTTTGCTAAATGACCGTGTAAAACCCCGTGGATCATTCATCCTGAAACAATGAATTATGCGACACGTGAAGTTGTTATTCTGTCTTTTCTGTCACACCTGGGTAATTCAAAAGAAAACTGGAAGCGAATGGAGTTCATGTTTCTTGCTTTAGATCCCTTTAGCGTCTTTAGCACTTTCTGGACCAAACTCCCTCCATCGCTTTGGAGAATTCCACTGATCCTCATCCCCCAATTGTTGCCAGGGGAAGGTGGTGGGAAGAAGTTACAAAGAAATCAATATCTACATTGCTGATTTTCAATCACGTTCAGGCAAGATTGTGGGGATGCAATGCAACAACAAGCCAAGCCAAGCTCTGCGACATCATACATGTTATTGCCTTGAGTAAGCGTGCAAATATCTGGACTGATAGTGACTACGCACTCAAACTGACTCATAGGCTCTATATACAGGGGCTGCTCTGAGCAGTTTTTCCAGACATAAACATATTCTTTAGGCTTCATCATATTCGCAGCCATTTGCATGCTTCCCATGCTGGCACTGTTCGAAGGCAGACTTGACTGCCAAGAAGTCGAGACATACTATGAAATACTGACCTGCCTGGTTTTGTAGTTGTAGTCATTGTTCATCACATGCAGAAGCAGCATTTTTGGTACATGAAGCGGGCCTGCAAAGAGTTTGTTTGGGGTTCCCAAGGTGCCCATATTCCAAAGGTGAAGCTAAAGAATCTAAAGAAAAGCCTTAAGTGGACATGGTGATGGATGGTAGAGCGGCTCATGGAGGTGGAACGCATCCCTGCCAGTCTCCTGGTTTGTAGCTCTTCTTCCGGTCATCCCGGCACCAAGCACCTCCACATGTCAGCCAAAGGAATCAAACAATTAAACAAGAAACTTCTTGACATCAACTACCCCATGCTCGACATCGAGTTGCACGGGCATTCCAAGGGTCGCGTCTTTTCATTTCAACGACATTTACCAATGGTATCCAATGGTTCAATGATACAAGCTCTGAGGATTCCCACGTTCTAACGACCCCAATGAACAATTGCAGGAACGCAATGCAATCACCAAGACACACAAACAAAAGCCGAACATTGTACTACCTTTGGAACAAATAATGCCTGTGAGGTTCCCTACTTCAGGTGGAGTATCATGAATGTGCTACTCAACCACGGAATCCCACCAAAATTCCTTGCCTCTTTTGGTTGGCTGTAAAGCCATTGCGTAGAGGGTCGTCGGCTGGTCGCAGCGCAGTTCGTACATGTTCTGCAAAGCGGGAGAGGCGCAAAGGCAGGCAAAAGGCAACGCCTTGCAGTCTTAACTTTGAGGTGTTGACATGCAGAAAACACCGTTATGGTTTTTGGGATTGGTTGCAGTATCTAGCTGTATTCCTAGAGCGAAACCAGGACCTTGTGCGCAATCGTCATGTATGTCCGCGACTTCACTGCAGTCAACCATCCGTTTGAATGTTCAACCAAAAAGGCATGTCTGAAACAGAACGGTCGACACTGGCGCAAAGAAAAGCAAAAAAATATACGAACACAAAAAGACCCTTCTTAAGAGTACGTGAGACCTTTTTCTGAGACCCAGGAACTTTCCTAAAAGTACCTGAAAAATCAATAACATCTTTCCGTTTGCGCCGGTGACATTTTTGGAATCCAAGGCGAGTCTCTGGGACCGCCGGAGAGGACGCATTGAGGAAAGAAAGACAAAGGCACAGGAAGAACCCAATGGGACACCACAGGGAGAAGAGTTCTTTTTGACCGGGCGGTAGGCCGCTAGTAGAGGTGAGCTAGGCAGTAGCCAAGAGCTAGGTAGCTAGGTAGCTAGTACCTACAAGTAAGCTACTAGGAGCTGGACGCAGGATAGCTCACACTTCTTCCAGGAAGCTCCCCCGCCGCTCTATTCATTTAGATGTTTAGAGAAACTTAATGATAGTTGTGCGTGTGTGTGTGTGTTTGTCTGTCAGTTGTGGTGTTATGGTGTTATCGCTTCTCTTTTCTCCTACTACTTTTGGATTATTTAGTTTCTGTTGAACCAATTCAGAACCCTAACCCCATGCATCAAAATATTATCATATAGTGTCGGAGGTATTGCAAACTCACTGTAGGCTGTAACATACAGAATCATATAGACAATCGCCCCTACAGTATTTGTATCCAACAAAACATATTCATGGAGGATTACAGGTTTACCTTTGAAATTACAGACAAGACACGTACATCTTTCAAGTATTGTGTTGAGGCTGAAGATCCTTTCTGTCAACTTCTTTTCGGGAGGTGAGACCCGTCTTGGATATCCTCATATCCATGGAACCAACTTTTGACTTGGACCTTTTTTGATCTTGCAGTTCCCTCTTTTCACGGCATGGTTCAGACTTTTGATCCATCACCTCTGGATCACCACTTTTCAACTCATGGAGCAGAATGTTTGTCTTTAGAATTTTGACCATCTCTCCAAACCCCGCATTGACCAGCGCTTTGCTCTTAATTTATGCAGTGAGGTATGCATATACATGTGCATGACATTCTGTCAATCCTCGTGGCAGGCAAAGCAAAAGGATGTGAATGCAGGTTGATAGCTGCAACCGATCCCTGGCTGAATGGCATCAGAAAGGATCGGACCACCCAATCCAAAGCAAAGCTGGAAGCGCATCCCTCCATCGCGTTGAAGAGAACTTTGCAGGCTGGTGATGCAAAACCAAAAAAAACACCATCAATGATGCGCCGCTGCGTCCATGCACAAACAGTCTCAGCAAGTGCATCACAATTATGCAGAAACCATTGCAAGTGCATTGAACATTGACCAGCAGCAACCCAAAGGTCACAAATCCACCATTATCCACCACTCAGGACTTTGCGCGCAAGAACGCTGCAAAGAACATTCGTGCAGTCTGGGACATCTTTGAGGCCAACAAATCCGGGAATAGGCCAGGCCTTGCAAGGACGCTACTAGGGGCTCCTGGCATCGCTACTAGGAGCAAGGAAGCTACTAGGAGGAAAGGGCATCGCTACTAGAAACAAGAATTCAATCGAATTAGGAACAAGTGCCACGCTAGTAGTAACAAGTGCATCGCTTCTAGTAACAAGTGCCTTACTAGTAGTAACAAGAAGTTACTAGGAACAAGTGCATCGCCTGACCGACCATGGACGGGGCCATTGACCCTAGGACTCATCGAACATTGACCCTAGGAACTAGGCCGCCAGGCCTTGCAAATCCGGCTCCCTGAACTCTTCGCGCAAAAGGCATTGGAGAAGCTGGCAGCATGCCAGCCACGATGTGCCAAGCCTCAGAAAGCCAAGGGGGATGCGTCAGTTGCACAGAAAACAGGTTTGCAAGCATTTGGGTTGCTTTGATCTTTGAGGAAAAACATAGTCGATCAAATGGAGGTTTTCTATCATAGTGGGATACAGTGGGTCTGGTCAGTTTGGAGCTGAATCAGTCATAGTTGTGGTTGTCTGTGGCAATAGTATGGAATAGCAGTAATGACTTAGATGGCGACACAACCACCCTCGGACTTGGTCAAACAAGCCATAAATTTCCTGGACCACCATCATGCGCTGCACTGATTATCCAATACTCAGCTTTGAAGAGCACCTCAAGGGAATACGAGGAATTGCAGTTGGCATGTCTGGGGAGCGGGCACACATCCACTACCTGGGGGTTCATGCACCATCATGCACCAAGTGCTTCGACAGAACAGGGATAACGCCGGCCATCCAGCTGTGAATTCTGGCATGTCGTAAGCCCACAACATCCCTAGTGAAAAAGGAATGAGCGAAACAAATCAGAATGGTCCTGGTGCGAGCCTGAAAGGCCATAAGGAAATGCATGTAGTCCATCCAAAAGGTGCCATCGTCCACCTGATGCACTGCCAACTTTGTGCAGGAAACGTGGCGAATGTAGACTATTAGATACTATTAGATTCTGGATCATGCAGTTCTCGAGCGCATCTGCTGGCGAGTTCATGTCTGGCCAAGCCCAAGACACCAGTGCATCCCAATTCACCTTGGATGCATCAAGTCCAGCTGCTTGAGCGAAAACCCAGCCAACTTGCAACAGCCCTAACGTGAAATGGAACACCCGCCCCAGTGGGCAAATGTTGAGCTTACTCTGTCGACCTACTGTTGCTCAATTTTTTCATGCCGCTCTTTTTGCTCTCGTGGGTTCTAGAAAAGAGGGTCAAAGGAATCTACTGCAAACGTATGCAGAAATGGTGACATGGTAAGCAACTTGCTGCCAGGCAGCTGGAAAGGCTTTCAGTCCACTCGGCAGACTTGTCACCTGGGATGCCAGTGAAGCCAACACTACAGTCCAGCACCTTGCAAACATTGATCAACAGACGCTCCTTGAAGCCATTTCACATCTTCTATAAGTCCATCCTCCCTCATCTTCCCCTTTGAGATTCGGCATGAGAGACAACATCATTGGGTAGAGTGCAACAAGCGAGCTCGGTTCCGGGCTCCACTCTCCATTCCACTCACCTCTGCTGTAGACCCCTGGATAGACCGACATGAATATATACATATATATATATATACATAATATAGACGGCGTGTTACATTTGTCTGAGGTTGGAGGCCATCGCTACTAGGATGGAGGCAGCTCTTTAGAACAATAACACTGAAGATGGCAGGAGCAAAGCATGAATTCCTTAAAAGGGATGTTGGAAAATACGGAGGCTTCTTATTTCGAGGCAAGTCAACAAGTCAATGTTGATTGAACATCATAGAATCATAGAATCGCACAATCACTTGATTCTCAACGAGAACCAGCAGGTGTGGTCCTGAACATGCAACAGTAGGTCAAACAAACAAACAACAGTAATACTTACGTTGATTATTGACCCGACCCTATCGTTTTGAAGGCTTGCGCTGATTATTGGAATTAGCACTCCCAACATGAAGGCCTATAGCTGCGCACCCACAGTGACTACTTCTTCTTTTTACTGACTGGCAGAGTCCCACATGTGGACCTCTGGTCTTGTGGGCCTAAACATGCTCAAAGATGGATCAGAATGGTATCGTTTGGGGTATCGTTTTGCGATGCTGGAAATTTCGGACCCTGAAGATCGGGGCCCAGCCGTCTGATTCCAATGATTCCGCTGGATACTTTGCTGGCTGGCTGATTCCGCCAAGTACTCGGAAGGCAGGGTCAATAAAGATTCTGCTCAAACCCTGCCGTTTTGAGGCAACAAAAACAGAAAGGCAACTTTGAAAAGGAGTGCAAAGGATATAGCTTTCTCAAAGCATCTATATATCAGAACTAATCATGTATATAACTAATCACCATCAGGTATCGTTTTTTGTTCCCGACCCTATCGTTCTTGAGGTTATCCTTACTACCAAGACTAGCAAGTTCAAAATGACGTCCAGCCTCCTTTAAGCTACACAAAGACAGGTTTTGATAGGCACTCATATATAATATAGCAGCATACCATATTGTCACGCAAATCTAGTTACTAGTCAGGGTGGTTTCCAACCGGTGCCAGGGCCACGACCCACTCCATGTGGGTTCCTGATCCTCAGGAGGCGTACCATGCCATCCTGCCGCAGTGCCGCAGGGTGATCTGCTTCAGCAGAATTGGTTCAGTTCAGAGTTTATTGTGCAAGCTTCTGTGGAAAGTCACCATTTTATGTCTGCACTTTCACTCCTGCAATCGCAGGAGTTGTAAAGGAAACAAGAAACACACCCGGGTCTGGAAGAAGGCATCACATGAGATAGAAATAGATGGAGGACATCTCAGTCAGGTAGTGTAGGAGTTTGCCCATCAAGAATGGAGCTGAATTGCTGTCTATTGTTGGTCAAAAGGGTGTGATCCGTTTCAATGTATAGCAATTCTTCTACATGGTATATGTTTCCATAGTATGGGATTGCATTTGATATCTGGCTGCTTCCCATATTGATCAAACGATGCTTCTTTGTTTGGCCTCCCAGCATAGACAATCCGAGCAAGCGGCTCACAGCAGCTCACAGCCCCTTGTTTATGCCATGCTGCATCATACATATCCAATAAACTCTATAACACACATAAAACACATTAAAGAACTGTTGCAGCGCTATAGTTATATGTAATACTATGGAAAAGTTATATACAGCGAACATGCCAACATACCAAACATATTTGGCTGCCAAACATTACAGCTCGCCTGTTGCGCTCCGCCATAGCCCAACTCCTGCATGGGCCAGTGCATCAGCTATGCTTCCAAAGACTAACCCGACTCAGGAACTAACCGCCCAATGAGGACAAGAGTTTGCCGTTCTCGAATCTAGCTGCTCAAGCGTGGCTTATATATATATATCGCCCCAAATGAATGCATTCATGTTCGAAGCATTGCCACCCATGATCCAGGCTACAGATTCTTGAATAGCAAGCGTCAATAAAGTTAGAAAACCCAAGATAACAAATTGGTTGCAACTGTGACACTGAGAGCGCTCCCTGCCCATAAAGCGTGGATCGAAGATTTCCCTCACATCCAGCACGCTGTAGGCATGGTTTCCACAAAGACCCACCTGGACAAATCTCCCAAAAAGACCCGTTGCTTACAGCAGGAACACAATGAAGCTCAAACATGCGTAGACCAGCAACCTTTTGGCCGTTCTTGTGTGCACTGGCTTTGATAAACACGAAACCTTGGTTGAGGCCTAGTCAATATGTGTCCACTGTATGCCTAGTGACTAGTGGTGGACAAAGCACGATACACGCAGGTTTGGAAGCACGTGGGCTGAGCGTCTGCAAAGATTTCATTCATGTCATGTAACTTGGACATCACCCCATAGAACATGACTTGCTGAGTCTGTATTGCAACAGGGATGGCCACTGTCACGGCAAACTCAATAACTTTTGGTTTCATCAAGCGAGAGCCCAGTTGAAATGGGCTCTGTAAGATATGTGATGTGACTTTATCCTTAATCGTAGCAAACAGTTCATGTCGAATCCTTTGAGGTCAAACTTTGGAGCCCACCCCTCCACAACCTCTTACGTGAGACTGTGAGATGGTGGAGTCTTGAGCCCAATTCTTCCCTCAAGTTCTGTATATATTTACATACAAATATCTAAAAAGCATTAAACAGCTATTGAAAGAACACTCTCTGGCATTTTCCCTAAACATCTAGGAACCAAATGAATAGTGCGAGTGCTTCTTCAATTCAAGGAAGCTCCCCCCCGCCGCCTTTAGGGCGACGAGGGGAGCTTCCTTGAAGAAGCGAGAGCTATCCTGCGTCCAGTAGGTAGTGGCTTTCTTGTAGGTACTAGCGACTCCCTCCCTTCCTCTAGCTACCTACCTAGCTAACCTACCTCTACTAGCGGCCTACCCGGGCCTACCCCGCCATTAAAAATAAAAACATGTAGAGGTAGACCTCGACCTCCTTGGTTTGTGTATATAGTTCGTTTTCCAGGTCCCGCCTCGCGGAGCTCAGGGTTCCCTGCGGTGGCACAGCCCATGGGGAAGTCGGCGGCCTCTGACTGCTTTTCAACTTCTTGTTTCCATATGCTTTACCAAGACAATGAGTGTATATATATATATATATTGTGTTTTGGTTCTCTCTTAAGGGGCGGAGGCCGCAAGTAGAGGTATGAGGTAGGTAGGTTAGCTAAAGGTAGGTAGCTAGTAGAAGCTAGGGAGTCGCTAGTACCTACAAGTAAGCTACTGCCTACTGGACGCAGGATAGCTCATGCTGGCACTATTCATTTGGTTCCTAGATGTTTAGGGGAACTTAACTCTAAAATTGCATTATGAAATGGTCGTATACAATCTGGTGGCGCAGGTCCTGGTAAGTCAAGTAGAGATGTCCAACATCCAAGACGAGCCCTAGGCATGCAAGAAGAAGAGTTTGGGCGATGCCCACAAAGAAGACCTTGCGATGACGAAGTGGGATCAAGAAGTCATAACTTCCCGGTAGCTCCCTTTGAGTCATTTCTAGTTCGTTTGACATTATTTGACATCCTCCTCCCAACAAAGCCAACTGTTCTTTTTGGATCTTTTTAGTTTGCCTACCGATTGTCCCCGAGTTCTGCAGATTCAGGTTGAGTGCCAGAAGGTTCAGCGGCCTTAAACTCCAGCAGCCTCCGCCATAGCTCCTGAGGGTCAAAGCCAGGCCTGTGCACCACCAGAATCAGCACGACCCTCTCCCTACCGACGCCCATAGGCATGTTCGAGCAACTGTATTGCATAAACCAGCTGACGTGCACGAGACACAGTCTGTCTGAGGCAAATGCTCGTCGAAATCAATGCTTTCGGTTGGGCAGCCGGTGAGATCCAAAAGGGCCTGAAAGGGGCGTGGGACACAAAGACCTAGTCCATGTCCACGTTGACTCTCGCTGACTGTCATATCTCAGCCTGGTTACTTCTGATCAGCACATTCAGGATGACAATGGATGGGAACAGTCAAATCATTGTTGTTCTTGGTTTGTCTTCGTTCGGCACTGCAAGGGTCTGAACACACGCCCTGCAAGTGTCTCAAGAATGCGGTAAGTGTGCGAAATGATCAGTAAATAGGCCCGGATGAGGGAAACAAAATAGTGGGGATGCTTCGATGAGTTGTTGTTGTACGCCCACTGTGATGTGACCAAACAAACACCACCTCTGACGAACGTGTGATCATGTGTGATCCGTCTGCTTGTCAGCCTCAATGGGCGCCATGTCTGCAAGAATCCAGATCATGCAAGGTATCAAAAGAACAAGGATCCCAACGCCTCTGCAATCTCTCCTCCACTGATGGCACGGTATGAGCCGTGTGCCTGATGGAGCAATAAGCACATCTACGTCGAAAACGTGTGCCATGTTTGTCATGGTAAGGATGGCTGGTGCTATTTCACAGGCACATATATATATATATATATACAAGTCAGGCGACTAGTGGCATGGTGGTTTAGCACTTGTCGTAGTCATACTAGGTTCATCAGCCTGGCGTAATATTGACAAGAAAGTCACACCGTAGCAGCAACTATCAAAACACAATTGATATCTACAAATAGTATTAATAGCAGCCAACAAATTGTTATATTATGTTATATTTTATATACATGTATGACATGTATTAATACATAAGCGTTTTAAACCTATTTTTCACGACCGAGCTTGGTTCACCCTGAACTTCTGGCCTTGGCATAAGCTTTTTCAAGCAATGGTACCCACAGCTGCTGGCCATCTGCACCTCATGAAATATGCTGAAAGCTGAAATGGGTCAAACATTTGAGCGGGGATGCAAGTTTATATCTTCGTCTTCATCTGTTTGGTGCACCTTTAGCACAATCAGAAAAAAAAACTGTTCTGATATATATATATATATAACCCTCTGCTACAGCTACAGTCCATATAAAAAGCCTTATTGCAAGTTGAATCAGCAAGCCGTTGTCATCTCAGGGTCATTATCGCAGGCCACCGCCAATCATTCCTCCTTGTTTGTGCCCTCATGCAGCACATCTCGAACGTTGCGAAACTGTTCTAAGAATCCGTGCGCCTAATTTGAATTGAGAGCAAGAATGAAACAGGCACTTTGCGACTTTGCCTGCTTGGCCTCTGTACTGACAAAACCAGTTTGGAAGGCTCCCAGTGACTTTCATGATGCCATGACTAGACATGTGCTGGTCATGTGAAGAAAGGCCCGGAGAGGAAGTTCAAAGGATTTGCTTCCTCCTGGACGGGCGGTGCTGTCAGTTATTGACCTTGCGAATCTGCGAGGTGGCTATGTCGTGCTTACCTTACAGGATTTCCCGCAAATAAACACACTCTTACATCGGCCCTTTCAAGCTACTAGGGGCTCCTGGCCTCACTACTAGTAACAAGAAGCTACTTACATCGGCCATTTCACCAAGTGGCCGCGGCTTTTGGGCGAAACCAGTTGCTGAAAAACACATTCTTTGGGTATTCATCTTCAAACGTCTATGCAAAAGCACATGCCATTCCACAGCCTCAGTCTCCCATGGCTAGACAAAAACTATGTTTTCAGGGAACGTTCAGCTGCGCAGCCTAAAGTCAAACATGTTCAACCAACTAGTGCACGTTTTGAGAAGGCCTCAGGTCAAACCTGACTTTTGGCCTCTTGGGGCCAGTCCCTTCAAGTCAATTAGATTCAAACGCTTCACCTGAGCACGGCAAAAACCTGTGCAACTGTCCTGAACCGCACATACACAGGGATCAATGTCTGCGTACCAGTCATGATCTCCCTCAGCGAAGGCCATTGTAATGCCATGCAGCTGAGAACTCTCAGGCTGCTAAGTGATTTGGTCTTACACCAGCTGCAACAAACATCTATAAGTCAAGCCTAACGTTGTTAGATATTATTGTTTGATTGCCTATAAGCTGCTCCAAAACAAATGATTATGTATATTGGGAGGCTTTTCGCTTCTGATCAAATGCATCCTGCAACAAGTGCAGTGCGTTCGCACAACAGCAACTGTCTGATTCTGGCATAGTCACGCCTTGGCATTGAACAACTGTTGCTTGACAAGAAGCTCCAGTCAGCTGCCAGGGCCAACATTGGCTTGAACACTTTAGATCCTGCAATGTTCCAGGGCATTTGTTTTGATTTCGGAATGAAGGCTTCTTGAACACCAGTCTGCATGCTTTCCTAGGCCATTCACGGCCTGCCTGGGCGAAAGCAGTTCAAGCTTGGTTTGGTTTAGCAAGTATCCCGGAATCACAGTCATCGCTTGATCCAGTTCCTGGGATGTGGACCGCTCAAGACGTTGATGGAGGCTCTACCCTGACCACAGGACCCAAGCTCCTCGAGACCACATTCGACATACTTCGCACCAACTCGCTGAGGGTAGTAGATTTCCTACAAATGCCAAATCTCACAAAATGGATGTTTGTCACCGACGCGGATGTGGCTGCCAATGAAACCTGTGATCATCTGCTTTCCTGCAACCTGATAACATGTTGGATTTGAACATAAAGGTTACGACATCTCCATGAAAACTCTAAACAAGTAGACTAAGTAAATACAGGAAAGGAGTTGAGGTTGTGGAAATGCATCTATGATGTTCATGCAGGATTCCCATCTTTGACCCGAGCACATGCAAATGCTTGCAATCAAGATTCTGGCAAGGCATGTTCATACCCAAACAAGCCTCCTGGTTTGCGCTCGGCAAAGCTGTCTTTAGCGGAATGAGGTCCTAAGACCTCAACATTTTGCAATTTATCTTAATGGCTAGGTAGAAGGTGTAGCATTTATTGCACTCACAACATATGAAGTACACTCGCAAAGGAATCAACACCTGCCAACGGTGAAGGCTGAAACCTGTAATCCTTCTCGCACAATTTTGCTGAACAAATGATGATAATGATGTTCCCAACGGCTCCAACAGCTGTTCCAGCGGTCTAAATTGTAAACTGTTTCAGGTTTCACTTATTCCAATAGCATTGAGGCTGCATTATTTTACCTGCATTATCTTGGAGCGATCTGGTATGTCTCAAAGGTCATGTGCAAATAACAAGTCACCATCCATAAGCTGGGCCCTAAGTGTGACAAACCAACCCACTTTACCCTGAAGAGGCACATTGATCTGTAGGAAAAAGACTTGGGCATGCCTTCTTGCCTGCCAAGTCATCACACAGGTCAAGTCCCAAGCCCAGCATGTCCTGGAGGTGGCAAATGAGGCACGATGTCCTGGCACAACAAATTACACGGCATAGGCCCAGATAGCTAGGCAGAATCCCGCGACCTGTTGACACGCGACTGGCTGGAACAAGAATGTATGCAGCCTGCACAGCCAGCTTACGGGACCTCCACAGCGCGCACAACCTGCTGACACCAGCACCGGCGCGCTTTGCCAGCTGACAACACCGGCAGTGGCACACCGCCGCCGCCCGTCTTAAACGCGCGCTCAGCCAACGGATATACCATAATTATCATAGTGTTCTGATTGCTGACTCCCTCAGATTCCCTGGAAGTAGCGGCACCCTCTCTGCAACGCGCCAAGCGCGCACAGCCAGCGCCCTGCACCGGCACCCTGTCTCCACCACCCGCACAGCCAGCTCACAATACACCAGCACCCGGCACCGGCACCCTGCCTCCACCACACGCACGGCCAGCTCACAACACCGGCACCGGCACCCTGCCTCCACCACGCGCACAGCCAGCTCACAACACCAGCGCCAGCACCGTCACCCGGCAGCCAGCACCCAGCACCGGCACCGGCACTCTGTTCACAGCACGAGCACCAGCACCGGCACCCGGCACCCAGCACCGGCACCCTGTCTCCACCACGTGCACAGCCAGCTCACAGCACCAGCACCAGCACCGGCAACCTGTCTCGAAAACGCGCACAGGCAGCTCATTGTTATTTGAAGTAAGAACCCCATAGCTTCGCTATCCCAGAACGATATGGAGCTATTTTTGCCAAGGCAAGCGGTAGTAAGAGATGAACTGACTCACGACAAAGGTGCGCGCCGCGGTAAACCAGTCTGAATTGGCAAATTGTCCGAATTTTCCGAATTCAGCCATACGGACTACTGTAAGCGACTTAACCAATGTCCTTGTTTCTTAAATCTCCTGTCAAACAATCGGGTCTTTACAAATCTCTGGACAGGTTCTAATGTTTCCGCTGAACATAATCATGTTCTATCCGCCCCGTTGAACATCAACTGGTGGGCGATCCCAATCTGCCAGTCCTGGTAGTGTACAACTCTCCAAGCATCCGTCTTCCCCAGTAGCTTTCCCAATGCTTCAGCAAACTTGCCATTGCCTGCAAACAAAGTGATTGTGGACCAGTGGAGAGACAGTTACTTGCTCTCGGTGTAGTTCTACCCACCAAGTTGCTCCCATATAGTTCAATATTGCATCTAATCGTAGCTAGCTTCTCCATCTTCTGCCTTGCTTGAACGTCATGTCAAACATCCTATCTATCGGTTCGTTAAATGGTGCACACCCAAACCAAAGTGTTCGTCGACTCTGCCAGTCCGATGCTCATTAGGTCTTAGTCTTGCTATACTGGCCACTGTTGCCTATGATTTCTTGCATATTCCTTCGGTCCTCTTCTACTTGAGCATGACCTTTCCTTTTGTGCGATATATATATATACATATCTATGGTACCCCCCCTCCAATACACACCCAAAGTGTGTTTTATACTGTAAATGATACTGTAAATTACATTGCTTTAGTGATATTTGGGGCTCATTTTGTTGAGTGATATTTTGAGACCTTTATCCACATGATTGTTCGGAATACTTGGCATAAGGGGGTACCATATACATATATTATAACTATATTATATATATATATGAATGAGTGTAGAAAGAAATAAGAACAGTAAGACTGCAGTACTTCAAGGATTGAGGATGGAGAAATAGTAAGACTCCAATACTTAGAGGATTGGGGCGTGAGAGAGGTACGAAGAGGTCTTCGTACCTCTGTCACGCCCAAACTGTCCAAGTCAGTGCAATTGTCAGACTTTCCGTGTCAGCTCAAACTATGTTCCTGAAGTTAAACTTAAAATACACCATAGCTCTAACAGTTATGTTATAAACATCATTTGAATTATGCTTTATTTTTTGATGCTAGGAATAGAGATTTAAAGTTAAAGGATTGTTGGCCGGCAATTTAGGTATTAGGTATATATGTGTCAAAGCAAACAATGAATGGAAGGTAAAAATAACTACAGTACCTGTTCTGCTTGTAATTGTTCTTTGAGCCAAGGGCACCATCAGGTGCATCTCAAATCAATCAAACATAACAGAATTTTGAGCACAATCTAGCTTTTAATGTTTCATGATATGGTTCTTGTGAAACTATATCATAAATCTTTCAATAAGACGTTTTGGCGATGAGTTGTGGGGCTGCTATACTTTATTTGGTGAACACTTTTGAAATGCTTGACTGTGATAAGTGATATGAAGAAACATACCACAGATCCTATTACATGTTTGTTCACCCCTTCAGGGTCAACAAGGTCAAAAACGTTTGAGATTTCAGGTATTCGAGACCACATACCCTAATAGAGGTGCTGACCCGATGATGGATTATGGTTGACAGGATTCTGTGTAAACCATAAGAGTTTGAACCACGAGCGCAAAGAGAGCTTTGCATATTGGCCCAAGTTTGATGAGAGATCAGAGCCATGCCAATTGGGAGCTTGCATTTCAGCATGGAGGAGGAATGGGCAATGTGGTGAGGGTGGGTGCCTATACTGGATGGTTTAATTGGGATGATGGTTTGGAAAAGGGCGGGGATGGCAGGATGAAAGAGATGGAAGGCACGATGGAGGCGAAAGGCTTGATAGATAGGTGGAGGTGCCCCCACTAGCAGAGGGGGGGCCTGTGTGAGGGACGCCCTTTGTGAGCTTGAAAACCTTAAGATTTTGATATAATTTTACAACAAATTAAAGAGGAAATTTGATAGAGAGTTTGTAGTGCTTGTGGACAAATGTTGCTTGGGGGAACGTTGCAAGTTGGTGATCAGAATGGTTGGTAGCATGAGCCTTCAGGAGAAGCAATCAGAAGGTTGGGTGAGCAAATTGAGGCAGCTGAGGGATGGTGGTGAGAAGGATCAAGATGAGATCATGAAGACACCAGCATCCCAAAAAAAGATGAAATAACCAGCACCAGCTGGAAAGATTCCATGCAAATGGCATGTGAAAAGGGTGGGGCAGAAGATCAGCTTCAGTATGGATCAGCTTCGCTATACAGTAGTAGGAAGATCTTGGATACTACTGTAACTGCAAAGAAAGTAATTCAGCAACATAATGTAATTGTTTTTCAATAAACCATACCATATATACAATTTTCTGGTGGCAAATGGGCTTGACCAATAGGGGAAGCTTGTCTGCCCAAAGCACAAATTATTCGAGGGAGGCCACTGTGGAAGGGGGTCGAAAGGGCGTGATATGGCTTGATTAATTGCGTAAGGTTACTTGATCCTATGTTAACATGTTGTCTGTCATTCTCAACGCAAAAGGTGTGTATTGGTGGGGGGTAGCATCATATATATATATATTCATTGTTTATCTATCCTCTTGATGGACCCTCTACCAACTTAGTTGGGATGTCGTTAAGAACGCAGCATCATCAATTTGCAAGTGGTCTTCTGTTCGAGGCCAAGCCCACAAGATTCCTGGACATTGTTTGTCGGATCAAGGTTGTTTTGGATGTTCCTTCTGCTTGATTGTCTTTGTATTTGACCTAAAACAGCAGCAGCCGTCACCATCATCAGAAGCTGTCCTTGAAGGCGTTTAATCCGGGGTATTAATCTCTCAACGCATCATTGGAGCGGCAGCTCACTCATCGACTGGCGAATGTGGGACATCCAAGTCTTCCAGCTTCACCAACTTGGTCATGCCCCTCTCAACAAGGCCTGGTCTTGGCGACTCCAGGGCATACATGTGCTGAACCGTGAAGGCCTTCATCAATGCCTTGCAGGATTAGGATTCAAGTACAAGTACAGATTTTGCCTAAAGACTGGCTCGCCTTGAGCTTGCGTATCGGTTTGGGGATGTCATGATCCATACAATTGCGAATTTGCAAGTGAAACTGAGCCCAGGAGCACTAAGAAATCAATCATGCACAGCTGCCTACATATATGCAACTAGCAACAAGAAGCTACTAGGGGCTCCTGGCGTTACTAGGAGCATTTTATGTTGCTAGCTCCCTTTCTCAGCATTGGGCCATGGGTCTTGCCATTGCTTGAGGTATTGTTCATGGCTCGCATCATATCTATTGTAGTCAAATAGCATCAACTAGTCCTAATTATACTGTAATATTAAATGGATCTGGTCCTATACAGTAAGAGATGGGGCATCTATTTTAGGTCTTCCTCTTGGCTGTCAATGTTGTCTCACCAGCTACAAACCACCTTCGAGAGCAGCTGTCTCTGCAGAGACATGGTTAGAAGTTGGATCATGTTGGATGGATATCAATTGTCAAACAAAGGTGAGAATCGTCCCAATAAGGATCCAACTTTATCTGTTGCAAAAACCACACATGCGCCTAACCTTAGCAAGGAGTGCTCGGCAGCCCCTCACAACTTGAGAGGCTTGAAGAGCAAGTTGACAAAACATGTAGGCAAAATCAAGGGTGTGCGGAGAAGGGGGTCAGCAACAATTGCATATACAAAGTTAGCGCATCAAAAAGACCTTCCGCCATGTTCTGCAAAGGCTTATGGGTTTTTGTTACGGTTAGTTTTCCTGCTGGCCCACCGTATTTATGTCCACGAATAGCCTCGAGTTCCACGAATGTTCCGGGCCTTCCACGAAGTTAGTAGAATATGTTTGCAAAACCCTTTCTGTGCACTACCCTTCCGTTTGCCTCTGAAAACACATTAAAACACTATATATATATATAAACACATCCTTGTTTGACTGCAACCTTCACTATTTCTGCCATTGCATCAGCTTCAGTTGGCTTGTTTGCCTACGTTGGCAAAAGCCAAATGATCAAAAGAGTCTTGGAATCGCTTGGAAGACAAGCCGCGTCAAAGAGAAGGTAGGTCAGTGATGCCGCACCCTGGGAATGTCCAACCAGATACAGCGGACGCTGATGACAACCAAAGTCAGCCAGTGCCCGGAAAATCTTGTCCCTCACAGAGAGGTAGGCCTGCAGTGCAACCAACCAATATGAACATGTATCTGTCCAGTCGCAGCTCCAATGGAAGAACTTTGATTTTTAAAAGTCGCAGCGCGTGGGTCGAGGTTGGGAAGGTCTCCGCACAGTCGAGAGAATGAAGACATTAGAAAAAGGTCTCTTTGAAGGTAGAAGTATGTAGAAGCCTAAAGCAGGCAAGAGGCGAGGTAGAAGCCTGAGTCCACTTGACAGGATGGACAAACTGCATGTTCAAAGTCCATCGGCCAAAAGACCGCGTCCAACAACGAGCTGATGACCCCGAAGGTGCCGCGCATGGCCACCTGACGGGCAGGCTGGGCCGGCCGGGACATGGAGGGATAAAGAATTCTCATACGATAAAAGTATATTAGTAGCTTCTTGCAGCTTCTTGTTACTAGTAGCTATTTGCTACTAGTAGTAATGCCCCTGTTACTAGTAGCGATGCCCTTTGCTACTGATGCCCTTTGCTACTAGTAGCTTCTTGTTACTAGTGGTAATGCCAGGAGCTACTAGTAGCGTCCTTGCTCCTAGTAGAAATACTAGTAGCAAGAAGGCCAACAAATTTCAGCACACATTTGTCTCACAATCTCAAGAGTTTCATAATCTCAAGAGTCTTGGACCTTGGAGGTTTGTCAACTGAGGCTCCTCAAAGGCCTATAAGTGAATCACTCTTGCCAAACAAGCCACAAAGCAACCATCTGGCTCCAGCATGCGGCCGACTCCAGCTGCTGCCTGCTCTGAACCTTAGGTCATGGCTGACCCATGACTGACCGACTCAAAATGACTTGGCAAGGCTGCAAGGTGTCTGCCATACACTGGGTATGAGCAAGGGGTGAGACCTGAGTATGGGGCACTCTGGTAGTTCTGCCCAAGACCCTCAATGAACAAGCTTTCAAATTAGCTCCAAATGGTTCAATGATTTGAGGAAAAACATGTTCAAACCATACCGTTTTAAAGAACAACAGCAACACCTCTTATATAACTTGTGAATGTTAATTGCAGGGCTGTAATAGCCATGGCTGAGATTTTGGGGAGGGTTGTAGCAGAGTCAAGTTGCATGGTAAGGTTCATTCGTGTCCATCATGAAGCACAAAAATGACAAAAATATCCTTTGCGGCAAAGCGACTTGTTATGAAGCGAAGTTGTGAGGTGTTCACTTTGGGACCCTTCACCACTGACTCCCCCACCTGCGGTGCAAGCACACATCATTCTTGTCTTCCCAATTGCTGACTCTGAAAAATTGTGCTAACCCATTGATGTGCTTTGCTTCGAGAGTGCTGATCCTAAGCTCTGATACTCGGCAAACAAATCTGTGTGATGCCAGATTCCTGCAGAAACCGGAATGTTTGAAGCTGGCATTATACCATGAGTCATCATGAGTCATGGACCTGATGAAAGAAAACTGGACGCCTTCCAGGAGATCCCTTCTAGGCTGACAATGCCCCAAGTTACTTCGAATCTGACCAGCCTGCCATTTGTCAAAAGCCTCTTGGCCGCAATACACGGCTTTTTCCAAATAGGCCAATTGGAGGCCGATCGTCTGGTTGTAGGCAAGGCAGGGTGACAGCAGGACGCATAGGAAACGCACGAACATGGCAAGTCCAAGCAGTTTAGTTTCTTGGGTCACCTGATTATGATTCGTCAACACTAGCAGTCACTAGCACTTGTCCTGCAAACTGCGAAGGAAATAGCAGCAGTTGGTGGTTTGACTCCAAAGACTGTGAGTACCGATGTCGTTGTGCCACCATGTGCCACCAACTTTTGAACGGAGTATATAGCTTGCTCTTGACCTGTGAGTCAAATCGCAGCGGTCCACCTACCACACTGAGGCTGCACGTTGACAACAACAAAACACGTAGAACCTGATCATTGCTTGTTTCTAGGATGTTGCGTTGTTAACCCTAGATACCTCAGTCACTTCGCCCTGCTATCCATCCCATAGACTTTGCAAAAACTCTAGACCCCAGTCCTCTTCATCCACTTGTCTGGTTGCATGAAAGTGGATCCTCATTTTCTCACGTCCCGTCAATCTGAGGCCGGGGCGGCTAAAAGCTAAACCACTCCCATCTGGCCTTCTCTGCTGATCGGTACCTGGAACCGCTCATTGCACAAAGCCAGTGTTGGATGCTTGGTTCAAACGTGATATCGTGCTGCTCCAGACTCCCTAGCTACTGTATCTGTTGCCAAGGATGCGACAAGGGAGGCGATCATCGATGGTCACGGCCTTGAAGCACGTGCGGCGCCGTAGTTTGCAAGCGGCGTGGGAATAAACTGTGCGTCAACGGTTGCAAGACACAGCTTCCGGATCAATTGGAACAACGACTCGTATAAGGTATCTCATAGGTGAAAACGCTGCTGAAAGCTCATCTGTGGAATTTACGTTCACTACTACCATCAGGATTGCCTGCAAAGAAGTCCCAGGAAACAACCCAGTCAACCAAACTCAAGAGTCTTGGATCCCAAAACAAGGCAATGCCACCAATCGGTGCCCAGCGCAATGTGAAAGTCTGAGTTGAATACACAACTTGTAAAGTACTGCATTAGGCTTTGCACGTGTTTGGTCGATTGGCCGTCACCTCTAAAATGTAACGCTGGCTTCCTATGTGCAGGCCGAAAGCTGGTCTACTGACCTGGTGGCTGCAGACATAACCAGTTCAGTTCCAGGAGGCCCCGGCAAAAGCAACGTGTCTCTCTTTCACGGCCCGCGAAACGCACAAGGTCCGCACACTGAGGAGATGGTGTGACAGGATGCAGGCACACCACGACACTCGATGGAGATCGGACCACCGCTTTTGAAGCAATGAGATGTTCGAAACCCAAATTGGCCGCCCAAACAAAGAGAGCAAAGTGCAAGCTTACTAGTCCAAGGTCGGCAAAACAATGTGTGGGCAAGGAAGTCGGATAGAGGGTCGAATCAAAATGGCCGAGTAAAAGATGCAAAGCACACTCCAACACCCAGGGATCGATCACGAACAAGTTCCTCAACATGGTGATTCTCGAAAGCGAATAAATACAAAGAATGGTGCATGCTGATGCCAACGATGCTAGTCCAGCCCGCAAACACTCCCCAAATATGCAACACTTTAACAAATCAGGTTTGACGCAGGGCCGCGGTTAGCGTCATTGACAAAAACAAGCTATATACGACCTTCCAAATGAGCACGAATGGACTACGGGACACTACCTGTGGGTTTGACAAACGTGTGCTTTTCCCAAGAACTGTTTCCCTATGCTTCCACCCGAATGCTTGACTTCGCAGCATTAAAGGTGGGACTTCCAGCAGCTCAAAAGTACAGCTAACAGCTTTGGATGGCTTTGACTGCTTTTGCGGCCTTCCACTCGCCGTCCAGAAACAAATTGATCTGGTAGCAGCCAGCAGCATTCCTGACACAGTCTTACTTGGAGTCAAGAAAACTTCTCCACTCTCTGAACAGCTCAAACTTAAGGGTTTTTTGATCGTTGTACAAAGGGATGCAGGTCGGGCAGTTCCCAACGAATATCATTTGGAAGGAAATCCCACTGTCCGTTCCAAACAGGGAGTCCTTCCATCCATTTCTAGAGATAAAATGGTCAGACAGGACCCTGTCAGGTGCATAGAATGAAAACCCCTGTTTATATAAAATGACTCTACCTAACGTCATTTTCACATCTGTTTCAAGCTTCAACAGCGTCTTTTTCTGCGCTCCTCAGGTTTGCGTCAATCAAAAAAAAATCCTTTTGCACCTGTCTGTTTGCACTAGCATCTGCCTCTCTATATATATATATACATATATGTATATATTATATTATATTATATTATATATATACAGTATATGTTTTTTGCATGAGTCCTGTTTGCTTCAAACATCTTCCTTGAAGCGAGCCATCATCCAGGTTTCAAGACAAGCAGCCAAAACTCAGCAGGAATCTATCAAGAGGCTCTGTACACACACAGTTTCCTCTATAACATGAACCCCGGACCTCCTCCAGGGGGGGGGGTCACAAAACGTTTTTTAAGAGTGGTTATCCCCTGCCATTCTCTAGAGGATATGGACAGGAGGATGAAGGAAATGTTGGTGGCGCAGCAAACTCACTTGGGACGTTTTTTCTGCATCAAAGAACAATGAAAAATCATCAATGCATCAGAACAATTGATTGTTCATGCTGTGTGCTTTCCAACGTTCACAAGTTTCCGGCCTTGCAGTTTCGCCTCCAAAGAGTCTCAAAATCAGATCTGGTCGTTGGGCGACCACGGCTAGCGCCTGGGCCAAACGGTTTCTGCCGCTCGTTCCGAACAACTGGTTCCTTGTCCAGTACAGTGAAAGCTCTGTAGCTAATGTTGAGCCTCAAAATACTGAATACAACGTGTTCCAAATCATATATATATATATGGAAATACTGTATTTGATATCCCCATGAGCCATGTTCCTTTCTATTGTGTGTCTACAGCGTTTTCTGCTCATCTTGAAAAAAAAACATTGGATATGGGCTCTTGACCTGTACATAGAGCATGTTGGAAACCGCAAATTTGCAGTTTTGAAGCTCGCACATTTGAAGATTCCTCCAACTTCAACCTTAAGCTTGGTGTCGAAGAAAACCTCTGGAATCTTCGATCTTCAAACACGTTCAATCTGCAAAATCAAAGACCTGGCAAGGCCTTGCAACATATGTCGTTAATGCCAAGAACGTTTGCCGTTTCGTTGAGTTTAGTTGTGTCGCCGAATGGCACATCCTCTCACTTCCATCTAGCCGTCTAGCCATGTCTTTTCTTGGCGGCCTCCATGAAATTCCCTTGTCTTGCAAAGTGTGAAGTTCTTTTTCAAGGACACAAAGCTTTTAAGAAGTGCTCTGCTGCGCAAAGTTCTTCTCCTCGGCGACTTGTTCCAAATTTTCTTGCTTGGCTACTTGTTCTAACTATTCCTGTTCAAATTTGGTTTTGCAAGTATGTTTACAACAATATACAAATAATGTGTCTGCTCTCTTGTGCAGAGCGAGGATTTGCCCAAGGAGTCTTTCTGGAAAATGTGTTTCCTTGAAGTTCGCAGATTGTTTTAGATATATTGTTTTCACTTTTCACACTAAGATTAACAATGCAAGTTAGATGGCACTGTCATCCAATGATGCATTCTCTCAGGTAAAAGGGTTTCACCATTCAGAACTTCACTTCCACATGCAACTTGATCGACGCAATGCGGAGTCAGGGCGGTTTGAGAAGGATTATCAAATCACACCGTTCTGTTGACAATGATGACTACGTGCCCAAAGTGAAGAATGCAGGATCAAGTCCCTTGGACAAGGGGACATATCCGTGTTCTGCAACATTTATGCTACACAGAACTGGTTTCAAACAATCAATAGGACTGAAATGGACTGAACATGTTCCTCAAGGGTTCCTGGCAGTTGTTGAGATGTTTTCCATGCAGGTGAGTTCTTTGTGGAAGAGACAATTATATAGCCCAGTGTTGCAACCCAACAGCAGGTAGCTTAGCAACTCACTTGACTAGCAACGTGCGGGCACTCCAGGATCCTGCTTGATCTTTTGTAGACAGGCAGAAGTTTTTATAAAAACAAAACAGGCTTGCATAAACAGCATCAACTCTTGTAAAGCAAGGCTCCTACAGGTGCACTGTATGAAAAAGGACATTTTAGATACGCAGGCATGAAACTAAAAAGGGAAAGCTTCATGATCAAGGAGGCAACAATAAACAACAAACAACAGCAGCCACAACAACATTGCAGCTTTGAAACATGAATAAATAAGAAACAAACTGCTCACCCCACGTTCATTAAGCGCACACATACTTCCAAATCTGTATTCAACACCATGAAGTTCATAACGCACTCAAAATTGTCTTATGTTTGCATGCATCTTGTAAACACAAGTGTCTTGTTTTTCAGAAAGGAAGACACTTGAGAATAGAAGAACTCCAAAAACTCTAGGAAGGAAGGCTTAATTAAAAACTTTCCTGAGAGGAGAACCATTTTTGAAGAATGGTGTCACTGTACAAAATTTTGGGTGTACAATATATGCATATATATATATATCATCTGTCATCCCGCCTTGTGATGAGCCGGGGGGTTAGTGTATATGACGCAACAATGTGTGTATATATATACAGTATACAGTACACACACACATATATCCCAAAGACTTCCAGAAAATCACCCTTGGCATTCCGCTGGCTGGCAACAGCCAGGTGCTTGGAAAGGGTCACAGCCTGCTCTTGCATGACAAAAGGGGCTGTATTGAGTAGCTGCCACGGAAGCAGGTGGCTTTCCGCTGACCGAATTGTCAATAATAATAAATACATCATGCCAACCGGTGCAATATATAACTGCAAATAGAAAATCTGTTTGGCTTCGACTGTCGACTGTTTGGTCGCCCGCCACAATATCTATGACAATGGCATTGGAAAACCAACCAAAGATGTCTTACATAGACTGCAGATTGACCCCATATAGCCGCTCTTACCAGTGTTGCTATATATTCACCTATAAAGGTCGTTTTGTGTTCTTCTGCAAGGGTCTGAGAGCTTGGCCGAAAGGAACCAGCAGTCTCCCACGCCTCCTTGCTTCAGGTCCTGTGTTCTTCAGGTGATGATCTTTGTGACCAAGTGGATCCAAGCAGAAAGGCAAAGGGTCTCGCGAAGCGGGACCCGTGCAAACCTACTAGGAACAAGGGCGCTACTACGTAGGGGCTCCTGGCATCGCTACTAGGAGCAAGGACGCTGCTAGGGGCTCCTGGCCTTACTACTAGGAGCAAAGGGCATGGCTACTAGTTACAAAGATTTGCATCCTTGCCATTGTCAATCTCAGGGACTGTAAGCAAGCAGTGTCTTGCAGTCTTGTGCCACTCTGTCGCCTAAAGTGTCTCCATGCATTGTTTGACTGACTGCCATAGTCTTTTGAGTTTTGCAAACAGAGGATAGGATGGGAGCAAAATGAATCTGAAAAAGGGAGCTATATGCGACTCTTGATTTTTGTAGACCCCTTCATTGTAATTGTCAAAGCAGGCAAAGTACTTATATACCTCTTTAAATGCTTAAACTTTGTCCTCCGCCCGGAAGCCGAAGTCGCTGACCACCAGGAAATCTGGAAAGCGCTGCCACCAAATCTTTTCGCTGCCTTGGTGAGGATCGCTGCTCCAAACACTGATTGATAATACAACACCTTGAGTGATTTTGTTCAATCTGGTCTTTGCATGGGGCCGCACCATAAGGAGACTAGACATGACAAGTAAAGGCTTGATAAGTAATTTGGAGCTGAAAGATTGCAAATAGTTGATCGCACTTGGATGAGCTGCATGGCAACTGTCCGAAACGACAAGTGAATGGCTCAAAAACAGGTGGTGTTGCTGCTCAAAGCCCAAAAGCATATTGACAAGACGGCAAGGTGGATACAGTACTTTGAGCAAGCAATCCCATTCAAGGAAGGGCAGTTTTAACATGGAACTGCCAGCAAGAGCTTGAGACTTTCACTTGTAGTTGCATAAATATATGGCCAGATGGCCAGTGATGGTCTCAAAAGGACACTTGGCCACTTGGGGCCCAACGCCTTGAGTCTGAATCTGCCCAAGAGAAGAAGCCACAGCGGCGTGTCTGACAAAGCCGCGAGAGGTCGTCTGGTCGACGTGGCATCCAAAGAGTTGTGCATCTCAGAATGGTGGGTCGCCTGAACCCTAAATTATATTCGTGGATAGTTCTTTTCTTGATAGCGCCTGACCAAAGTTTGACTGAATCTGGAACGCTTCTTGATTCACTCATATTCACTCTGTATAGAACCGGGAAATACATATGCCTGATTTGACAAAGACCCATTATCTCTAAGATAATTAAGATAATATGCATATAGTTTCTTTAGAGCTGGCAAAAGTGAATACGTTGTGAGACGACAGGATGTGAAACGACAAGTGCTAATTCAACCGCACTTGTTCTCTGCAGCGTGGCGGGAGCGCCTCGCAGTGCCAGTATGGCCTTCCCTGGCAAGTCAAATTTGATCTGAGACCGCGTAAGAGCTGGACCCGACACACATTTCTTTCAGACCATCCGAAGTATGATAAAATATGATCGAGGTGTTGATCAAATAAAACTGGAGCAAGAGATAATAGAAACACCCAAAGCCAGCGCTTGAGTCAAAACTGGAAGTGAGATGCTGTCCCAACTCTCAGTTCACATTGTCCCAGTTGGGCCCTGGTTTGCTTAGCACTCCGCCTTGGTTGGGCCTTCCTTTCTCACCTGACCAGAAAGGCTGAGCAGCACTGCACGGGCAAAAGGTTCTAAGGTGCTCGAAAACTCCAGTCTGCAGATCCAATTGAGTACATCCAGCATTGGTGACCTCCGACTTCTTGCAGTTCTTTCCACAGCGGCAACGAGGAGGTTCTGAGGAGGAGCGTGGCGCATCCTGGCATAGTGCCATCGTGGCAGTTTGTCGTCACTGAACAACCCTGGAGTTGCTCGTGAAGACTCGACTGCTTCCAACATGGCAAGAAGCTGCTAAGCCAAACAAGTTATATAGAAAATGTGGATTCTCGTTAAAGATACTGTAGCTATATAGACTGTAACATCATGTAGCTATCACTGGCACCCTAAAGCCTCAAGCTTCTGGAGCCTTCATTCTTGGTCACAAGTGATTTCATCTCAGGTTCTGTCTTGTTGCAGTTCAACCATGTTCCAAGAGGAAGGGTGGAGATCTTGAGGAACTGAACAAACCGAAGGAACGGAAGGAATCGAAAAAGCAATGCTGAGACGCACTCGGCGCACCTCGTCCCTGCCTCCTATAGATTTCCTCAGCACAGCCAGCATAGCAGCATGGCGGAACTGTCCCTGGACCCCTGGCATTTGGAGAACAATGTCCACTGGGTGATTACTCAGTCGTCCATTTTGGCAGGTCATGCAAATGATGATTGATGTCAAAATTAAATTCAAGTAGGACAGAAGAAGTTATACTGTAAGAGAAACAGAATTGGACCTCTCATGAAAAATCGCCTATGGGCCTATGGGCATGATTGTTGTCGAAAATCCTTCAGATGTGTTTGGTTGGCAGTCTTGCTACCTAAGTTTACTCTGTGTTTTTTCAAAGAACCCCCAATCACCTGCTACGACCAAATATTTGATCAGAAACACTTGCCGAATCAATCGAATTCAATCTCTTTAAATTTTGATGGATACGCCAAGAAAGTAAACATAAAGCACCTCGAGCAACAAACACAGGAGACATCCCACCTGTTTGGGTGATCAGTGATGAGTGCTAATTGAATTCTTGAAGGTTTGTAGGGACAAACTTGCTAGTGCTTGAGAGTCAAGACCGGCTCTGTCCGGCTCAGTGCACTTTATGGAGCAAGAATGTACATAGGAGAAGGTTATTGAAGCTGCTTTCAGAAACACCAAGCCAAGCCCTCAACATGCATCCTCATGGAATTGATGCTGGGGCTCCAAGCGCCTCTGCTGGGAAGTCGTAGTCCTCAAAGCACGCCTCGCAACGGGACCCTCTGATGCGAAAGCACTCAGTGTGTTATCAACAGCATCGAGAACCAGGGGCCATACTAGGGAAACAAATAGGATCTATTTTACGACTTACTTCTATGTACTTCCTACTTACGACCAAGCAAATACCAGCAAAACAGCCGTATTGTGTCAATGGGTTGCCGCCGGTGGGGTTTTCGGGAGCTCTGCTCGAAAACTGGCACTCACAACTTGTGTAGAGAGCCCAAAACATCGCAATCGCTCAAGGACCTGGAAGGGATTTGTGAAACACAATGATTCGTTTGTAGAACAACGATTTGGTAAGATATATGAGAGACTGTTTGGATTAATCTTATTCCCCAGGTCCAACTTCTACATTGACATCAATCTCATGCCACGCCCAGGATAAAGAGCACCGCGTAGTCCAGCTTCTTACAACCTGGCTGCGGTGGCATTGTCTCCCCTGGCGCCACTGGGAACTGCACCTCCAGCTCCGTGGTGGGTGTGCAGCTTCCGCTGCCCTCGGGGGTGTAGCGCGCAGAGCGACAAGGAAGGTGGGTCACGTCATAGAGCTTGGCGTTGTCTCCCAAAGACCACTTCTGAACCTGAAGATCCAGTTCGCAGGCTGCATGTGGACTTCATCGTTGGATGTTTGAGGCGCAGTTGGATGTTTCCAGTGCCCCCCCTTATATCAAATATCACCATCTTTCTTGGGCCATTCTATGTAAGCAACTGGAAGGTATGTTACAAATGATCCTGGGAACTCTTAAAGTCTTAAAGCGTTTGTAGTTCGTAGGTGCCCTGCGAACAGAGTCAATCTTGGGAAGATGTCAAGGGTTCTTTTACAAGACAACACTTCTTCCCTCAGAATGGGACTTGCAGCCAGTGGCTAAGCGAGGAATGCATTTTGATATGTACAGACAATGGTGGGTAGAGAAACAACTCTCCAGACAAAGCAGAACAATCACAACCAACCTGGTTGATTGCTAGTTGGGGTCTCAAGTTTCATTCAATTCCACATATATAATCATCCTTGAATTTGCATCTCTTGCAAAGCCAGCAACACCATTCTGGTCCTTCTCAGAGATTGTCAAGGTCGTAGTGACTTTCCGATCACCAGTCACCAAGTACTTTCCAGGAGGCATTGGAAACTCTGGTTTCTCCATTATCAATCCGTGCTCCTCCAACCACCAGTCATTGTCATCGAATTTCCTCGGCGATGAGCATTCTCCATGGCTTCAAACTTGGGAAATGCCAGTCACCGCACTTACCAAATGATGTTGTGGCCAAAACCACCCGTTCCCTTTTACAACTTTTGACCTCAGAAAGGTGCTTTAAGCCTCGCTGCGTTCTTGTTTTGTTGTCACGTTGCATTATCGTTTTCGTGCCGTGTAAAAACATCGATTTCTATGATTCTATGCACAACAAGCAAATGCAACACAAAACTTCTCGTTGCCTTTGATGTGGGGCAAACAAACCTGGGCTGCAACACGTACGCTGGGTTGTCCATGTGCAGGGTGATCGTTTTATGTTCTTCCTTATCGCTGTTCGGATCCGTTCTGTGGATGGAGCACCCTTTTGGCAAAATGGACACGTGAAGACTAAATTTGTGAGTGTTTTCTTTTTTACTTTCTCTCTCTCTCTCTTCAACTGTCTCTCTCTGAAACCAAATCACAGGCCAAAAAGCCAAGCTGCCACTGGGCCGGGGCCACGCCGCCCCTGCTCTTGAGCTTGTCATAGTTGAAGAGACGGACGCCTCGGGGACCTGGATCCAGTCTCCACAAGCCCCACTTTTCGGCGCCTGTGCCAGAGTTCGCGGCGGGGTCTCCCAGCGCGGCTATGTATTGGATCTGCCTGGCGTGTCACGGTGTGACGGATTGTTGCGGTGTCACTACAAAAGTTCATCAGTGAGACTTCTCTGTTGGAGCATCAATACATGAAAGCTGTTGAATCTGTTGACCATATATTCGGTTGGTCATGACTGCTTTGTATAGAGCCGAGCGCCTCAGTCGTTTGAACTCTGTCTTGGGCTCCTCTGCCACTGCTGGACTGGCCACTCCAGCCATAGCCCCGGCAACCCCAGCGGACAACAGGCTTCGACGGCCGTGAGCTTCATCGGTTTCAGCTCGGGCACAGCCTTCCTAAGAAGGGTCAACATGGCTCTCATTTTGAAAGGAGTCAACACATCGAATCTGGAGTTGTCAATTGTGTCATTGACACACATTACAATGTCATCATATGTCATCTATACAGGCTATATCGGTGGTAAACTACAATAAGTGTTCTTACACAAAAGGACGTCTTCAGCCAGTGTGTGCGTGGGGAAGTGAGCTTCAATCCATTGGATTGTAGATCTCACATTTTCAGTTGAAGCTGCTGAGACCAGTTCCTGAGATATTTTAGCCACTAGATTTTGATGGATTGATGGACTGGTTCGTGAACAAAATTTGGCCCCTCAATCCAACCTATGGTTTCCATCTCATTGCCTCACTGCTTCCGTCCCGTTGCAGACTGGCCAAGCTTCTCGCTTCTCTCCGGCACAGGCAAAGCTCTCTGGGTCAAGGCCCCATGCTTGCCACAGGAGCAACAGCCCCGTGAAGAGGATGGGAGCGGGACGGCGGCACTTCATGGAGTCGAGACTTCGTCGAGACTGCGTGACTGCGAACTGACTCACAGAGTGTCAAAAAGCTTTTGGAGCACTCGTGTGGCCGACATTTGCCTCGAAAAAGATTATGCTTGGGGTGTGGCTGTGAGAACGAAACAATTGCATTCGTTGAATCTGCCCGTCCGCCATGTGTGAAGGCGTGTCAAGGGCGCTTCCCCCACTGAAAACACTGTGGACAGTGGACACTGCATAATTATAGCTTCAGCCCAAAGCACTCCCCTGCCTGCAGCAAAAGAAGCGCTTCGTGCCATTCCTCGGATCTCGCAAGTCACTTTGGCGTGTTGTTTTGTGACATATTGATTGACCAAGAGCCGAACCGCTCTGGCAGCGCGGAGTACTTCGCTGCTCATCGCCTGCAGGGGCTCACGTGTTGCACCAATCCCTCATTGGACAAGTCTCAAAAGCTGAGTGCCCATCAAGGTCTACGATGTCTGATCCGCAAGCTTTTGTCGATCTAACTGCGCGATCAAAACAGAAAGGATAATAAAGTCTGAGTCTCCAACATCATCTCCACTCAAAGTGCTCCAGTCAGGAGAAGGTGTCACCGGTGCTACTGCACCAGCTGATCTGTAAGTCCGGGTCGATTCGTCCTCACCGGGGCAAGAAGGTGTCGCTTAGTTTTCTTTTGTCTGGACCTCATACTTTGTATAAATAATAATCAAAATCACATCAAAACACAGAATCAAACTGCAACAGAAGCTCTTTCCTCCAAGACCATGAACACACCAAGCTCTACCCGAAGCTGATCTGTGGGAACTGTCAATGAGCAGCATGTCAGTGTTGCTGTCCGCTTCGCTGATGGTCATTGCTGTGTCTTGTTACATCTAGTAACAAGCCCTTGGTAGTAGATTTCTGACCTGACTCATGATCAACAAACTCCAACACTTATAAAACTGCTAAGCTACCAATTGTTGTCAATAGACATCCTATAGTGCAGGTCTGTCATGGTCTGTCTGAACATCCCATCCAAAATCACACCAGGCAGTTCTGGACATGTCCCGTCCTGCGGCGCGAAGATCTTTCCCCATCTTCGTGTCCTCCCCGTCGGATCCTCTTCGGGATCCAAGTCGATCGGTGGGCCATGGTGGGCCTTCAAGAGCATCGCAGCTCCGCCGAGCTCGGCCGAGCTGCCGTCCAATGGCCAACCTACTAGCGATGGCCTCCAACCCGTCTGATTTCTGGCTCACATGCGATTCACACACTTTCTGGTTCTCGCGATTCAAACATCTAGAATTTTGAGTATGTGATGACTTTTGGTCTGGGCTCAATGTTGGATAAGCTGAATTAAGATGATCCAGCCTGGAGTTTCACCCGCCTTCGATGTTTTGAATATATATATATACATATTTCAGCTCACATGGTCTTGATGAAGCGATTTCATGTTTTGCTTTGTTGACTTAAAAAGTATCCAATGTTCTCATTACTTTGCACCACGAATTCTGTAAGCCACAAGCAGAAAATGTGAGTGATGTGCCGAGGACACGCGGACTTCGGTCACAAATCCTGAGGAGGACAGGAGAGGCTTTTGTAGTGACCTAGGGATCCTGATACAATCAGCATGGTCACACAAGGTGGAGTGATCACACGTTGCCTGGCACGTTCTTTGCACACTTATGCAAACTTGACTCTCAGGTCTCCCTGGAGTCTCCCTTCTGCTTTGCAGGTAAGGGCCCACAAATCTGCTTTGTGTCACAGCTGTAAAGTGTCTTCGAGGCTCTTGGAGGTGGGATACATTCTGTGAGGAACATTCAGGACCACTTGATGTCTTTCGCAAACAAACTCACGCTTCAAAAGAACAGTTCTATTTTGTCACTCCCATACTCACCATCAACTACCAGGATTTGCAGGATTGGTCCTACTACATAATAAGCAGTAAGACCAGCGCTGGTTTTGCTGCAGCAAGCAGTATTAAGTCTCGAGTCCTAAAGTTTTAGTAAGTTTAATCTACATCTCATGCTTTGAGCAACAATACACGTTTTATAAGAGGGGTCAGGGAACAGAAACAACGATGTTTTGGGCGAAAACAACATGTTTAAAGTAGAGGTTGTTGTTGACTGATGCGTTTCTCTCCATGCCACCCACTCATGCAGCAAAAACTCTAGGTTGCTTGAGCCTCCCCAAAGGTCTCTATATGCCCAATGAACTATCTAGTATATAATAGTATATAACCTAGTATTATTGGTCGAAGAGTATGGGTTAATGTGTCGGGTAAAGTACGGGTATGCTGTGGGGTTGGCACAACAAAATCAGCATAAAACATCTCACATCAAATCAGCGCAAAACACCACAAATCAAGGGGTCAACCCAATGTAATAGTTTCATAACTGTTTCTGAATACCCAGCGTTTCTAGTTGCAAGAGGTCTTGATGATCCGGGTATATACTTATAACATCTTATAACATATTATAACAACAACCAAAGCCTCTGGTTTTGCTGACAAGTTCCTAGTTGACTGGTTGAAGACCAAGCTTCAAGCCGCGAAGAGCGGCCCATGTGAAGCATCCAAGATCCGTCCCCGCATCTGCCGCGCATGGGCACAGCGGGGATAGTCACGCCGGGACTTCAGGCAGCTCATTTCACGACGAAGATAGTTGGGAAAAGCAGGGAGCTCTTGATCGTCCATCGCCTGAGTTCTACATGCAAGGGGACCACACTGATCTCTCACGCGGAGATAATTGATACTGTAATCGTCTGAGACAGCAAATTGCTTTCATTATGCCATTGCATAGACTCAGGTCGTCACAATGCAGTTTACTCAACCCATTTCCACAGTGGTTCGGTAGAAATATTGTCAACAAGTTGACGGACCACCATGGAAGCACCTATAATTCAGCGTTGGTCCGGCCCAATATTCAACTATCACGAACAATTTTCTGCCATTTGCCATCGACCCTACTCCATGCCTCTATTCCAGGCAGGTTGCGCGATATGATGCTCGCGGCTACATTGAAACCGAGTTGCACTTCGGAAGAGCCGCGCATTCATGGCTCGGTCGGCAGGTTGCGGAGGCGGTATTGGCACCAAAGCTTTGGACAGCTCGAGTGATGTCTGGGGAGGATCTTCAGGGATGTGGCGGGCCTCTACCCACTCCTTCAACTTCTCAAGATTCAGCCTTTCAGCTTCCAGCATCTCGCCTGAATGCACCAGTCAGTGTTAAAAGACAGCAAACAAACATTGTAGAGATAATGGATATCATATAATCATATATACAGTATATATATAATTCTTCATATATATACATATATATAGAGATTGTATGGTAATTTGGTGTTGCTGACATTTGGTTAACAATTCATCACTATAACTTTGAAACAAAGTGAATGCAGTATTGTGGATGTCTGTTCTGCAGCTCCAGTCACTTCGCTCACGCAAAGCTTGCACCTCTGCCTTTGATTGCTGTAGAGCCTCATGTTTCGCCTCACATTGGACCTCCAGTTCCCGGTGAGCTTTTTGAAGCAAGGCCTTCTCCTTGGGAACAATGCGGAGTCCATGCTCTCCACATGTCCATGGTGTTCAAAACATTCTTTTCTCGCTATGAGGGGATAGCTGGCCACTTGAACTTGAGGAATGTCCAAAGCAAGCGCTGGTCAAGCAGTTCGGCCAAATCTGAAGAGCATAGAGCACCCAACAAAAGTCTGTGTTTTTTTTTAAATAAGTCCACCCTTACTATTAACTAATAAGGCTCCTACTTAATTAAGTAAGGGAGTGGACGCTCCTAAGTAGGCGCCTATGACTAAGTAAGGGAGTAAACAAGCTGCTAGCTACTAAGACGCTACCCCCCAGCCTGAGGGTGGGAGGAGCTTCCTTGAAGAAGCGCTCGCACTAATGATTTGGCTCCTAGATTTTAGGGAAACTTATACAACCCTTGATTGGTGAAGTATTTGATGGTGTAGAATACTGAAATGCAATGTATTGCCATGTGGTTTGCAAAGTGCAGCGCAGTTGACCATGAAATCTGTACACTGTGCGGAACACTGACACACACACACACACACCTTTACATTGAAGGTATCTGTGCTCAACGCTGACAGACTGCATGATAGAACTGGCAAACAATAGCCAAGGCTCCTTTTGGAGAGCGTTCACCATAACTCTCTTTTCCACCAGTTCTTCTTGGATCTTTGCATCGTGATTGCTCAGCACTGTCCATTCGGCCTTCAAAGCACGCAGTTGCTGCTCCTTGCTATGTGCTCGCGCATTGGCATCATCCCTCTCTTCCTCTGCCCGATTCTTGGCAATGCCACCTTGGTATTGAAGAGTTGAACTCGCTTTGCCTGTCTTCAGTTTCTCTACGTCTGGAGTTGGGAAGCAAAACCCACTAAAGCACTCCTGTCCCAGTATGTTCTTTATCACATAATCCCCCAACTTCCCAACCCAAAGTCACACTGACACAAGGAAAATGATGTCGAAACTGGGTCATTCCGGTCCTGGATCTGAATCTTCGACCCCGTGCATCTCCACCCTCATCACTGAACGGAAGCAAGCACAAGTCCAACAAGCTAGTCTTAGCTTTCATGTTAGTTTCATCTCTATTCTGATGACATGTTAAGCTGAATGATCCATGATCCACCCACTGTGGCCAGCCACTGGTGAAAGCATCTGCCCTCGAGAGTTGTTCCCGCTCGTGCGCTCGGAAGAGCGAGGCCTGTGCTCCGCGCTCAGATTGCCCAAGCTGAGCGCACAACCTGCCAAATGGGATCCAAATAGCATCATCCGTGGCATGGGTGGCATCTGAAGGGTGAATCAAGTACCTATCCATACCTATCCCGTCTGGTCACCCCACCTGGTCACACCCGGTGAGTCTGCACGGCCCCAACAGGATGGGACATGAACCAGTGGTGCCTGGGACTACCTTCATCAATGTCAACCGTCTGTTTGGTTAGGTAGATCTTATCTAACAGGTTCATGATCCCAGGACAAAGGGCAAGTGGGATAGTGTGTGGGAAGGGCACCTACCGCAGGAAATCAGCTGATTTAGCCCGTCATCATGAATACATACTTATTTGTTGGACCGGGATTCCGTGTCAGTGAAGCTGCCAGTGAGAATTTCACACAACCAATGAAACAAGCAAACAATGTCCAAGAGTTGAATGGAAGCGTGCTCTGACCAACCAACTGTTCTTAACACCCACTGAACTCGCGCCAAGCTAACGCTGTTTCTACACTCCTTGAAATAATCAACGGAAAATGGCACCATGAGCATTTTCCTCTAGAAACAGGTGGTTTTCCACGTCCATGATTGTTTCAGGGAGTGTAATTTTGCCGAGATACTTCTCCAGGTCCAAACAGCGATCTTCAAACTTCATGGTCTCTCCCTTCCTGTTGCTCAAAGGCCGGAACATGCCACAATGTTTTCAGATCCTGCATATGCAGTCTCCACCTAGTGTTTCTTGATGATACTTTGGAATTGGAATCAGCATCGCGAAGCCACTGCACAATTCTTGAGTTATCCAGAATTACAACATATTCATACCTGAGAAAGGAGAGGACGAAAGCCAGCGAGAGACCAATATGGTAATGCAAGACTGGGAGGAAAAAATAGCGGAGCACTTATTGTTGAATGCCTGTAGCTTTCGTGGAGCTTGTGTCAACGTGGAGTAGATCAAGATCGGAGCACAGCATGAAGTCTTGAATGTTTTAGGTGTTCTCGATTTTTCTGGCGCGGTGCTCTCTGGAGCGTCCCTTTTTGGTGGTCTATTTGAGAATCCGGGAAAAAAGAAGCGTCAGTGAAGACCAGGAGAAGGATGCCCGAAAGGTGGTTTCTTGTTGTTTTGAAATGTGTTTCAGGCATCGTGCAGCAATGCGAAGCCCTATAAAGAGCAGGGCTGGGAGAAAGAAAAGGGGAGAGCACTCATTCTTGAATGGCTGTAGTTTTCGTGGAGCTGGTAGCACTGCGACGTAGATGAAGATCAGAGCACAGCATGAAGTGTTGAATGTCTTAAATATTCTTGATTTGCTTGGTGCGGCGCCTTCTCGAGCGTCCCTTGTTGGTGTTCTATTTGAGAATCCGTGCAAAAATAAGCGTCAGTGAACACCAGGAGAATGATGCCCGAAATGGGTTTTGTGGTTGTGTTGAAATGTGTTCGGATATCGTGCATCAATGCGAAGCCCTATAGAGAGCAGGGCTGGGAGGAAAAAATAGCAGAGCACCTATAGTTGAAAGCTGGTAGTTTCGTGGAGCTGGCATCACTGCGACTGAGATCAAGATCGGAGCACAGCATGAAGCGTTGAACGCTTGCAGCTTTCTTGCTTCTCCTCTTGCGGCGCTCTTATCCCCAAGCCTCTACCTCGCCCAACTGCACATACTCACATCGTTCTCTCCAGAGCGTTCACTCATTGTTGTTTGGTCCTTCTAGGTATGATCAGAGCTACACAGTCCCTATGCCCTGCTCAGGACTAGAAAAATTGTCTCCACTTGCGCACTATGATTGCCACTGCAAGCCCGGCCGCTCTGCAACACGATGACGCACTTGTGCTGCTCATCGCATGGATCCTTGGGGCAACTCTCCGTCTAGAAGCTGGCGCACAGGGGTTGGCCGTTCCTCATGTACTTGGTGAGCAGCTTGTTGTTGATAGACGCAGGCATGACGGAGACTCCGGCGACCCCTTCATGATGCTAATGATGCACTACTCGGCGTCCATTGTATCACTCGCATCACCAGACCCCATTTTAACTGCTTTTCTGACTCTCGCTTTGGAGCACTCTCCCCCACCAAGCTCCGGGTTCACCCTCTCAAAATACGTGCCTTTTCGCACCCTCCCCCCCCCCACACCCCCTTAACTCACTTCGTTCGCTCTAAGAGCTCAAGCCTAGCCTATCGGCTGGCTTTCGTAATTACCCATCCAGTCTCAGGTCCACTTTTCTGTGTGATCAGGAAAGAACCCCAGCATCTCAAGAATCAAGGTCATCAGCAAGTCTTATACGGATGCCACATGTTTTCTATTATTGTTTTCTCTAGGCTCAGTTGCTCCTTGGCATCCACACTCATCCAACATTGGCATATCATACCATCCTACTGGACTGCTAGTGCCAGATTCTGCCGGGTGTCTGGGCCACCAAGTCCTTCACGAGCTTTGCGATTTGATCGTTCAGCTTCTTGGCCTCTCCCTCCATGGTCTCCTGAAACACTTTGGAAGACCAAACAATGGGCGTTGGTGTATAGGAGAATTGACGCTTCAACGATTTTTGCAAACGCTGCAGAATTAAATTTGTTGATGTTGGCAGCCTCCAGCCTTCCATTCAACATTCCAGCTCCAGGCTGACTCATGCTGACTCTACAAGTTTCCCTAAAAATCTAGAAAACAAATCATAAGAAGCGTCAGCTATCCTGCGCCCAGATACTAGCAGCTTACTTGTAGGTACTAGCTACCAGCTACCTACCTCTAGCTACTACTATCTCACCTCTACTAGCGGCGGCCTACCCCCAAAAAAACGAATAGTAAAAAAAGAGTTAAAAGCCGGGTTTACATAAAATATCTCAGGAGCCCTGGACGATTTGATCGCGTTGTCCGTACTTCCATCATTGCAGCCCAGCGTCGATCTGCTGTTCGGCTTGCGCACGCATCTGCTTCTCCTGGGCAGTCAGGATTGGCTAGAGGAAGACTGTGATCAAGCACTCCCCCAACTGTGTTGAAAGCCCCATATACAATCACACAATCAGGCAGCTGTCATTCTGAAAATTTTGAATGGATATCGGAAGCTCACGTCGAGTCATCTAAACTCTAAACCCGCAGTTCGCTTGTCATGTTCTGTCCCACACCTTTGCAAACAAGCCGAGCCTGCCTTGCGGATCTGCGCCTTCAATCGCTCCACTGGAACTAGCTGCTCTTGCAGCTCTGCTTGAAGCATTTGAGCATCTCGCAGTTTGCCTCCCAAGAACAACTTCATTGGTGGCCCGAAAATGGCCACGCATCATATGATGTGCAATACCAGCAATGCTGTTCTTATCAAAAAAATTGTCTCCCGAGCGCAATAGCTAGCTTCGCTTTGCCTCGCGCTTCGCCAGCTTCACCTGCCTCGAAGGGAGTGCACCTCCTCTGTTAAGGCCACCACCTTGGGCGACTCCTTCTCGCTGGTCGTGGCCGCCATGGCCACCATGGTGGGGACAAAGACTTTGGAAAGAGGAGATTTGGGTGGATTGGTTTGTTTTCATCTTTCTCCTGTTACTGTCAACAGTAGTGGTCTTAGTCTCCCGTTCCCATTGTGAGCCTAGTCGAATGAGATGCAGATTGCCCCACAACAAAACAAACACAAATTCAATTTCAACCTTGGAGAATATTGATATATATATATATATATTATATTCAGTGTATATATATTATATATATTGTATATTCTATATATGTGTGTATATGTCATCGTGGAATTCTAAGTATTCTAAGAGACTCGTGCCTACACCCGTTCTGTGATTCAGCCATACAGCTGCTCTTTCTTCACAGTCTTCAGGCTGTACTTCTTTGGTTCTGCACAATGGTCCCATCAACGGATTCTTGAATCACAAGGCCCCATACGTCGATGCAATGGGATCGCCTTTCGCATCGTGTGGCCCTGCCACCACTTGACGCAGCGATGCTCTCCCTTTTCGGGAAACACAGCACCAGCAACAAGGTACTAAAAACGGGGTGATCTCAGAAACGAGCGTAGCCTCAGCTCATCATAAGTTCAACCATTACATTTCATTACAGTGCAAGAACTAGAATAGGCTTTCTCAGCTGCTTCCAACCCTTCTCCAGCAACTCCCCCGTGAAGAGGGCGGCTTCCTGCGGTGAGTTGTAGGACTCAGCAAAGCACCAGACCACGGTGCAAAAGAGGGCTCCTAGTAGCGTCCTTGCTCCCGGTAATCTAGGAGAAGCATCAGCATTCCAAATGATGCACCCAACCATCCCCGAATAACGAAATTATTCTGATATTCTGATCAGATTGGGTCTGACACGGCACTGACTTCTGGAATCTTCTGGAATCAGTTTTGGACCTCCTAACAACATGCCATCAAATGGTCAATCGGCCACTAGCAGGACGCACCAGGCAATGCCGAGACGGAAACTGAGATATAGTGACTACTTTGGCTGCACGTACCTGTGGCCATTCCTTTTCAGTATCTGTGGATCAACGCCAACTGTGCCACATGTTGGTCGAAGGTGAAACCAATTCTGGGCAGATCATATTTATGGAGCATGAAAGGACTGCGAAGTCCTGGTGCGAATTCATCTCAAGACCTACACCACGTCATGGGCAAACGATGTGAGGGTCGTCATCAACCATGTCATGCGCCCTGGAATCAGCTTGCTTTTCCTCAAGTGAGCTATCAGTTTAGAGATAGAGGCGCTTTGCGCCCTCCCAGCGTGTAAGACCGGCCAAATGCAACCAAACCATGACGGCCGGCAGAAAAACATCATGATACATCTCTCCCCCATGCTCCCAAAGAGGTGAGATCTTTCATTTTACGATGCGTTCTGTTCAAAGGCCCGTTTGGGGCATGGAGAAACAGCACGGAGAGCAAACGCCTACTAGATGTTTCAGTCGAGTTCTGCAAAGACTTCTGAGCCCAAAGAAACAAACAGTTTGTATCGCGTGTCACGAAAGTCTAGATCTTTGTTGTCACTAGTAACTAGGGCTCAAATCTCAGAGTCTGAAAGGCTAGGACTTACATGAGATCATGAGCTACTTGCTCCAACATCCGGCAAACGTGGCGGCAAGCAGAGTGCCTTTTCAAAAATGCATATGGACGCGTGAGATGAGAGATCTCAGTTTTGTTTGGGCCCAATCAACCTTACATTGACACGCAAGCATTGCCGTCACAGCATCACCATTTTTCACCAGGTGTTTCTACACACCATAGGAGCACCTTGGTTTGGAAACGAGGCTTGATTGTGTGGGGTGACCACGATTTGGCAAGCAGCGGACCTCAGGAAATCAATTTCAACATCTTGTGACTTGAGGTGACTTGTGGACCTTGCCCATCTTTCTTTCGAGCTGACACCTTGACTCTTCCCATGTGGCATGATTTAGCAAAATCTTCACTTGTCGGCTTCATGCTATCTCTAGTGAAAATAATGTTGCTTTGTTTGGGCCATTGACCTTGCTTGTCAGCTTGTGTAGTTTTGCTTAACGATGATCTACAGTAGCTGATGGACACGGACAGCGAGCTTGGGGATCGACGGAAACCACGTTCTAGTCAACATGACATTCAAAAAAACAAACTATCATAAGATATCATAAGGTGCGCATGTGATCTCCACCCCCTCCGGCATTGGGCATACTCTATCAGCAGTGCTATCTGGGAACTATACAAGCTTTGTGGGCAACGCAGCTGGCAACAGGCGACCGCTAGCCGCTAGCTAGCACCAACAAAGCACTAGTCTGATGCAATATTCTTGTTTGGGAGATAAATCTATGGCCAAGGTACACCCGAATGCTTGGACTCGGCACAGACGTGATCAACTCGAACATCTTTGCGTTCCCCTCTTGGCCTGTGCATATGTTCAACACATTTGGAACAATTGACAATATGTACTCGAGGCACTGTCACTGTAAACACCACGAGGGAAGTGTCGACCGACTTGATTCATTTTGCACTGAAGCTGTCCAATGCTGCCTGATCAAACGTTCCAGTGGCTGGTTCAGGGATGGCTGAAGCAACTACATAATATATATATAACATGTATGAAACCCCATGAATTCTCCGCCTGTCAAGACTCTTGCATGTCTTTGACTGGGATCGTGGTTGGCCAAGCATGATGACGAAACGTATGACTTCGCCGGAAGTGTTGCTCATGTGGGCCATTGTGGCCAATTTAACATTGCTAATGTTCACTGATCCTAACCTGTACTCCAGCAAATACATTGCTGACAAATCTATACAAATCCCAATGAAATAGGTCCCGTTAGAAATAGGGTCCCTATCTGGGTCCCAGAGGCAACTTGGTTTAGGGCAGTGCTCCACACGCCGCAGCCCGAGCACACGCCTTCCACCGCAACGATCCGATCCATCGGCTTGAAGGTGCCAACAGGCAGTTGTGCGGCAGCACCCCCAATGACCTCCTCGCAGCGGTTGGAGGCCATCGCTAGTAGGGTGGAGGCCATTACTACTAGTACTAGTGACAAAGGCTTTTGGGTTGGAGGCCATTGCTAGTAGGGTGGAGGCCATTACTACTAGTAGCAAGAAGTTACTAGTGACAAAGGCTTTTGGGTTGGAGGCCATTGCTTCTAGGTTGGAGGCCATCGCTAGTAGGGTGCTAGTAGCAAGAAGCTACTAGTGACAAAGGCTTTTGGGGTGGAGGCCAGTACTACTAGGAGCAAGAAGCTACCAGTCACAAAGGCTTTTGGGGTGGAGGACATCGCTTCTAGGTTGGAGGCCAT